CCATGTGCATAGATCACTGAAAGTTGCCACCCAGGTTGATAGCGTTGTTAAGAAGGCGTACAGTATGTTAGGTTTTATTGGTGGAGCGATTGAGTTTCGGAGCCATGAGGTCATGTTGCAGCTGTACAAAACTCTGGTGCGGCCGCACTTGGAGTATTGCGTACAGTTCTGGTTACCGCATTATAGGAAGGATGTGGAAGCATTGGAAAGGGTGCAGAGGAGATTTACCAGGATGTTGCCTGGTATGGAGGGAAGGTTTTATGAGGAAAGGCTGAGGGTCTTGAGGCTGTTTTCGTTAGAGAGAAGAAGGTTAAGAGGTGACTTGATAGAGACATACAAGATGATCAGAGGATTAGATAGGCTGGACAGTGGGAGCCTTTTTCCTTGGATGGTGATGGCTAGCACGAGGGGACATAGCTTTAAATTGAGGGGTGATAGATATAGGACAGATGTCAGAGGTAGGTTCTTTACTCAGAGAGAAGTAAGGGCATGGAATGCCCTGCCTGCAAAAGTAGTAGACTCGGCAACTTTAAGGGCATTTAAATGGTCATTGGATAAACATATGGATGATAATGGAATAGTTTAGGTTAGATGGGCTTCAGATTGGTTTCACAGGTCGGCGCAACATCGAGGTCCGAAGGGCCTGTACTGCACTGTAATGTTCTATGTTCTGTGTTCTAATTACCCTTTAGAAGGTGGTGGTTGGCTACCTTTTTGAACAACTGCAGTCCATGTGCTGTAGGTTGACCCACAATGCTGTTAGGGAGAGAGTTCTAGGATTTTGACCCAGTGAGGCAGTGAAGGAACGGCTATATATTTCTAAGTCAGGATGGTGGGTGACTCAGAAGGGACCTTGCAGGGGGGTGGTGTTCCCATGTATCTGCTGCTCTTATCCTTCTAGATGGAAGTGGTAGTGGGTTTAGGAGGTGCTGTCAGTTGAACCTTGGTGAGTTGCTGCAGTGTATCTTGTTGATCGCAGTTCCTGTTGCTACTGAGCGTCAGTGGGGAAGACAGCACATGTTGAAGGTGGTGGATGGGGTTCTGCTGCTTCACCTGGATGGTGTCAGGCATCTTGAGTGTTATTCCAGCTCTCCAGGCAAGTGGGGAATACTTTGAGGTGGGGTTCCTGAGCTCCATTTTTAAACACCTCGCTGTCAGCACAGGTCCACTACATGGGGTGACGTAGTGGTTCAGTGGTTAGCACTGCTGACTCACACAGCACCAAGGTTTCTGTCTGTGTGGAGTTCGCACGTTCTCCCCGTGTCTGTGTGGGTTTCCCCTGTGGTCACCAGTTTCCTCCTGCAGTCCAAAAATATGCAGGTGGCTTGGCAATGGGAAGTGCAGGGTTGCAGAGATAGGGTGGTGGGAGGATCTGGGTGGAATGCTGTTCGGGTGGACCCGATGGGCTGAATGGCCTGCTTCTACGCTGTAGGGATTCTATCATGGGGCACAGCTTTTAGGCCACATCATGAACAGATGTGGACAGGGCTTTAAAATATTGCTGTCAATCAGCGTATCTGTGTTCTGACACCATAGTTGGCATAGCCTTTTGGCAGGTGCAGTGCCAGCAGGTCACTAAAACCCTCATGAAGCAGGCGGGTAACTGGGTTTACTGTCAGTAAGAAGCAGTCTTAGAGCACAATTCATGGAGCTTCTCTCTCTGGATATGAGCACCTAGCAGCCGGGGTTGGACCTGATGTTGGTCAATGCTCCAAGCAGGACTACAAGCGTTCCCTGCCATTTTGGGTGGGGGATATGGCCAAAGGCTGCCCTGCCAATCCCCACAGTCTTGGCTTTTTGGTTTGTTTTATGAAGGGCTGTGGACAATGTGCCCCCATGTTGAAACTCCCTCTCAGTCACTGCAGCCCTCTCAAGTTGGAAGGACTCTCATAGGCCTTCGAGAGCTCCCTCCCTCCCCACCTCCCTAGATTTCCAGGGAGCCAGCCTCCATGCCCATCAAGAGGGCACCTCCATACAAATCCTAAAGGTCACAGAATTGTTATGGTGCAGAAGGAGGCCATTTGGTCTATCATGCCTGATCTGGTTCTTGTGCTGAAAGCTTGACTCCATCCCCACTGGATGGTGTGGGGAGGGATTGTGGGTTCATGATCCGCAATCTGTGTCATCTCCTGCTTCCTGTACCACCACCATGACGCCATCCCCTCCCCTGTCTTCTCAGAGGGTATAACCAGCCTCATTGAGTTTGGACATTCTGAATCCCATTCTGTGAAGGTGGTGCATTAAATTTAGACAGCCTTACCCCCAGGATATTGAGTTCTGAATAGTCCTATTCCCTAAAGTAATTATTGTTTGGGTTTGACCCTTTGTAGTCAGTGTTTCACCTTTTGATACTCTTAATCCACTTTTGTCAAGGCAAAGATTTGCTTCTATTCTGGGTCCAGTCTGTATAGCCTAATATTAAAGGCTGTCGAGTTGAAAAAATCCCGATGAAAGTATTTTCAGGAGCATGCTAAATCTGAGCAGGGTATAGAGAAGCCTCTCATGTATCATATACCAACCTCCGCTCGCTGGTGGTCCAGTCAGGCAATGTTCCATTTGTCACTAATGTTCCTATCTCTTTGATCAGAGCGCCTGCCTGTGTTTCCTTTTGTATTGTTTATAAAGCAGAATTCTACATTTTAATGCATTTCACATGAAGAAAATACATTTGGAATTGTGACAGATGTAACAAAAACGTCAAGTACATCACAGCTTATTGGGATAACACCAATAATCAATAGCTCCAGTACCTATGCTGCAGAACGGTTTGAAGTTCAATATTGCAAAATCATATGCAAAATTATTCATTATCATATGCCCATATGTACTATTGTTTATTATTGTCTTTTCTTTGTAGTCATACGATTGAAACTGTTAAATTACTGTACGTTATTGTATATTCATGAGTCGTGATTGCAGAGTAGAACAATCCATCTGTTTGCACACAAATGTTCTCTGCAGTGTTGCAAGTTACCACAGTACAATGCATCATGATTGTGTGGAGCAATACAGATTGTGTTACCGTGCTGTCTCTGTTTTATATGCCTGTGCTTTCAAGTTCTGTGCAGTGTAATTAGTCGTGTGCCCTTCCATCATTGTAAAAGAACACAGGCCAACATAACTGTCTGCCTAATCTCAAGGCAATTCAGAGTAACCAGGCAACCAGTTAGGGACCTGAGAGGCATCAGAAAAATCCACATGGATAACTCTTCTTTCCCTCTCCCAATGGACCGTCAACTCCGTCACATGCCACACATCCCTCTCCATCGCCTTTTAGATTGTGCATTCCTGTTCCACTTAAGCTCTTCACTCCTTTCTGCTTAGATGCCCTCACATTCTTCTGCTCTCATTCCTGTTGACCTTTCCACTCCGTCTCCTGCTGCCCTGTAGTGCTATTAGTCTCTCCTCACCATCACCATTTACGTTCCCCACTCTGTCTCAATTTAGACAATCCTCCGTGTCGCCTACTATACTCACAACCCTCTCTCCTGCTAAGACTACCATTTTCATTGTTTTTCAGGCTTCCCACCCTGGCACTTGTTAAACCATTGTCTTCATCACTGACTAAATACTTCATTAACTATTAGACCTTCCAAACCCTTTACTATCCCCCTCAACTCACCAATGAGACTCTCCTGCAGTTGCTCATTCAATTCCTTCTATTAGCCTCTCCTCTCCATTAATTTTCAAATTGTCATCTCGTTATCCTCACTTCTCCACTGTCTAGTGTGTTAGACATTCCATTTGGCCATCCTTTGCCTCTCCATCTCTTGTAAAGCTCTCCATTTGCATTACTTGTAAAGTGGCTCATGATGCTGGGATGAACCCCCATTCCAGTATTGGATGCTTAGACGTCATGTGGTCTTTATGGTAACACTGCTGAGCCTTCGTCTGAACGCATTCAGTTTGAAATACTTTTCTGTTGAGTCAGTTATCTGTGATGGTAGCCAGGTCTAAAAAAAGAAATTATTTTGAATCAACCTATTCAGACACATGTCTAGGGAGTGCAGTTGAGACCTGAACCTGGCCCTTCTGGCCGTGAGGGACACTACCACTGCACCACAAGATCTTTATGTTGACAGCAAGCCAGCCAGTAAAATAATCAATTTGATAAAAGAGTGAAATAGTTACAGAGGCACAGAAAAGCAAGATCCCAAGTAAGACCATGAACTTTATTAACTTTTTTGGAGTGACAATAAAAACAGGTCAGAGTGCGGAAATGGTGGATGGGATGATCCTAGATGTCTCTGAAGAAAGACAACAGGGAATTAAAAAGAGCAGCAATATTGATTTTTTTAAAATGTCGTACAGGATGTGACGTCAAAGCATGTTCCACCATTATATCAAAGAGAATCAGCTCCTTAACTGGTTAGCCAACAGTTGGCATAGTATTTAACACTCTCTCCCCTTCTCCTCCACCCCTCATTTTAACTGGTTGTTAAGTGACCGTCGGGCCTAGATTCTCAGTTGCTCCCGAATTCCAAAATAAAAGCTTGACCAGAGTTGGTGCAGAGTGTAAAGTGAGATGCAGTCCTCTGCCCACATACGTGAATACTGGGTCAGCACTTGTGTAACCTCGATTAATGGATCCTTTTCTCAAAGTAGGTAATGGCTCAGGCCCCATTTTCAGGTGATTCCGGTTGTTTCATCTGTTCTCATTTTAATCAATCTTGTCATCATTTTTCCAAGGGATTGTGAAATGTGACTTGTCAAGTCTGTGGAGGTTCCAGGTTTCTAACTAACCTTTCTCTCTTAACGTGAAACTGTGTAATGATCTGCTAGCTGCTAATATTAGCTCTGCTCCAGATTGCTGTTGAATAGATGAAGGATATACAACGGGAACAAAACCATTTCATTATTCTGTGACAGGTTTGTTGACTCATCAGCTTTAAAAAAAAAGAAAAATTATTCCACTAGTTGCAGTGCTCGAAAATATGTTAATCTATTTTCTCTTTTTTCTTACACTTTTTCACTCTCTCTCTCTTCCGATGCTTAAATAGAAGTGGAACAAAAAGGTAAAGCTATAACATACACAGTTCCAACCCCGACACTTTGTTTTTTGTACCTATATAATTGTTTACTCCCTTTATCCCCTTTTCTCTGGTCTGCTGGCCCTAAGCAGGGCACATGTGTAGCCAAAAATTAATTCAGTCTCGATCTCTACATGTAACTAGCAGTCATTAACCTGTATCACAAACCTAACATGGGGACATCAGTAAGTGTTTTATATGAAAATAAAAGCTGCTCGGGATGTGTTGTTTTACCTCCTTAGGGATATTCCTCACCCATGGGTGCCTCAATTTGTCCATGCATCTGATTTTATCCAGAAACCTTCTTCGTGTTTCCCATAGCAACTGGGTTTCCTGGGCTACCTCACTTGCTGTTCCTCTTCCTCCTCTGCTCTTCCTTTCCACACCTGTAAGCTTTGTTTAACTATGATTTGGTTTCGGTGGCGCAGTGACTCGACCAGACGCCAGATTGAAATTTATTTATTTTCTGCTTAATTTAAGACGCAATTTGCTTTTTCTTTCTTAAAAAAAAGAAAATGGTCACACGCTTTTAAAGATAAACAGAGAGACAAAATGCAAAACGAGACAATGTGGTGACTGTGCAGCCGTAATGTGATTCAGTCATGATGTGATATTCTGACCACGTTTGATCTGAGGTAGGGTTTCTTCGCAAAGGGTTCATCAAAATCGGGATTGGAGGGGGTATTACGATGGGCTGAATTACGAAGTAAGAACCTGAGGGATGTGCAGGGCTGATAATGTGCCTCCCAGCTACTCAGAGCAGTGTTTTCCATGGGTTTCGATCTGCATCTTACTTTACACTCTGGGCCTGTTGGAGCTCCTGAGGGAAACAGGTGGGAGTGTATATTGTTCTCAGTCAGAGGCTTCAGGCAGACACGAGGTGGGGGGCTGGGGAAGGGGAAGGGGAAGGAGGTTGGGGTGGGGAATGGGTTGCTGCTTAGGTCCATCATGTTTTGTTTTGGGCTCGAGGTAAAGCATGACAACCTTGGGTTGCCACCCTCCTGAATTGTCCTGGAGTCTCCAGCGCCAGGAAATGAATCTCTGTCATGTTATTGCCAGCAAACTCCAGAAGGTAAATCATTGGGGCATTTAAGATTGGTGTAGCCTCGGAACTCTTTTAGAAGACTTTTGTTCATTAAGAGTAAATGGGGAAATATGTGTCTTTTGGAAATAGGGAAGAGAAGCTCTTTGACAGTCAAGAATTGTCCAGTCAAACAACAAAGAGCCTGCTTGCTGTCCGATTGACCCTGTGTAGTCAGGTAGACAGTAAAAGTTAATTTCCTGCATTCAGCAAGCAGCTGATGAGTGTGATACTAACCAATAGCTGGATAAAACCAGGGCATTACTTCTTGTTTAAAACCAATCATGCCATTGTTTCACTTAGTTGGACTACCCTTGCTTTCAGCATGTTGCCCTGAGATACTTATGATCCAAATGTATTCCCCTCAGATGCCTGTTCTCTGAATGTGTTCCCATGGGTTACTTGTGCTCCAAGTATGTCGCCCTGGGATAGTCATATCTGTGTGGTCCCCTGGGAAACTTTTGCTTCAGATGTGTTCCATTTGGTCACTGATGTTCTTAGTGTGTTCTCCTGGAGTACTCCATGGGTATCCCAGGGAAACATATTCAGAGCACAAATATCCCAGGGGAACACACTTGGAGCATGAATATCTTTCAGAAACACACTCGAAGCATGAGCTTCCTGCAAGAACACACTCTGAGGACGAGTATCTCATAGGGACACACTTAGAACATGAGTATTCGAGGGAAACATGCTCAGAGGAAGATACTTTCTCCACATACTGATGTGCTTCTGCTGCAAGACTTACTCAGTTTCTGCCAGAACTGGATTGCTACAATTGATCGAGAAGATTGAACAGACTGGGATATGTTTTCTCCCCAGCAAAACGAAGACTGAAGGGAGTCCTGATAACAGTCTTTTAAAAAGGGGTTTGATTGGATGGATGTGGAGAGGTTGTTTCTCTACAGTTAATTGCACACGATCAAAATCCACAGCTATAACAGGCAGCTGATAGGATGAAGTAAGAAAAATCAAATCACTGTTACCCGCCACTCCTAGCTGAGTGAAGAACCAGACGACCTGAGAATGTGTTAGTGTCAGTACACAAGCTGACTGTCAAAATTTCCCACATTACAGCAGCAACTACATCTTGAAATTGTCCAAAGATGTGCAGGCTAGGTGGATTGGCCATGCTAAATTGCCTGTAGTGTTCAGGGATGTGTAGATTAGGTGGGTTACAGGGGGATGGGTCTGGGTGGGATGCTCTGATGGTCAGTGTGGACTTGTTGGGCCAAAGGGCCTGTTTCCACACTGTAGGGATTCTATGATTCTTGATTCTATGAAAGCACATTAGCAGTGAATTCCTTTGATCCTTGTAGTAACTGTGGAAGGTGCAACCTAACAGCAAGCTTTTTTAAAATATCAAATAACAAAATTCCAAGTAGTGAACGTGGGGTCCCTGTGTCATGCTAAATAATAAAGGTGAGGAAATTGATATGTCTAAGATATGCTCGGTGTGAACATGAGGGAAAAGGGAATATAAACATAAGGAGCAGCAAAGAGTGAGATAATCAGGGGTGGATTGAAGCTCATATGAGGCAAAAGCAACACCATTGGCCAGTTGGGCTCAATGGACTGTACTTAAGATTCACATTCTTAATCTTTTGTCTATTCATCTGAATACCATTGTAAGACTCTTCTAAAGCAGATTTCTAACATTCTACATATCTCAGAGCCACGCAGAGATGAGACTAGTTTCTCAGTATGCACCAAATTTGTTTACAAGTTTTAAAATATTTCTGCAATCACAAAATGCCTGCACTCATGCTTATACCTCAGCTTCTGGAGGGTCTGTTTACTTTACTGAGAGACAAATTATGCAGTCAAGCACAGTGAGCATGGATCAGTTAACGGACTCGCATAATCAAACATTGACAGTTGGACGTTACACCTCCTAAACTGTTACTTGCTTCCTGTTCAGTATCCACCATCCTGCAAAGTCTTCTGAGACATCTGACTATAAATGATGAGCACTCGAGTGTGTTTTCCTGGGATACTGCTGCTCTGTGCATGTTGCTCTGAGCTCCAGCATGATTAATGGCCAACCATTCATTTGTACAATCTTAACATAAATCATTGTGTCCGGATAGCTCAGTGCTTCGAGGCACATAACACCACCTGATTTGCAATGTTAATTTTTTGGACAGCCAAGTTGCATTTTAAGGTGTGATCAATGCTCACTATCTGTTTTACATTCTAACAGTGAAAGGCCTTGAAAAGGAGTTGACTGCCTTTGCTCTTATTACTTGTTGCTTTTTTTTCCTATCATCCTAACACATACCTTTGTAAGATGCTTTAAAGCACCATTCTTGGGCGGCACAATGGCTCAGTGGTTGGTACTGCTGCCTCACAGTGCCAGGGGCCTGGGTTCGATTCCAACCTCAGGCAGCTGTCTGTGTGGGTTTCTGCTGGATGCTCTGGTTTCTTCCCACAGTCCAAAGATGTGCAAGTTAGGTAGAGACAGTAAAGACTGCAGATGCTGGAAGCTAGAGCCAATAAATGTGGAGCTGGAAAATTTTAGAATGTAAAACAGGTCAGACAGCATTCGAGGAGCAGGAAAGTCAACATTTTGGGCCAAAACCCTCTGTCAGGACTGGGGAGGGGGAGGCTAGCCCAGAAATAAATAGAGGGAGGAGGTGGGGCTGGGGTGAGGATAGGTGGATGCAGGTAGGGGATTATTGTGATTGGTCAGTGGGAAGGGTGGAGCAGACAGGTGAGTCGGAAGGTGGACAGTTTGGGGCGGATGGAGAGATTTTGAAGCTTGTGAAGTCAATATTCAGACCATTGGGCTGTAAGCTCCCAAAGTGAAATACCAGGTGTTGTTCCTCCAGTTTACATTTGGCCTCACTCTGACAGTAGAGGAGGTCAAGGATGGACATGTCACCAGGGAAGTTGGGTGGGTGCAGAGGGAGGTGGTTAAAGTGAATGGCAACCAGAAGGTCAGGTCAGGTCGGTTGTTTGGTTGGTTTTTGGTTGGGAGACCAAACGCAGACTCGGGGACTGGTTTGTGGAGGACCGGCGCTCTGCATGCATCAACTAACCCAACTTTCCGGTTGCCATCCACTTTAACACACTCCGCCCACTCCCCTGGTGATGTGTCCATTCTTGACCTCTTCCACTGTCAGAATGACACCAAACATAAGCTGGAGGAACAACGCCTCATATTTCGGTTTGGGAGCTTACAGCCTAGTGGCCTGAATATTGACCTCTCCATCTTCAAAATCTCTCCTCCCCTAACCTGCCCATCTTCTGACTCATTTATCAGCTCCACCCTTCCCACTGACCAATCACAATAAGCCCCTATCTGCATCCACCTATCTCCATCTCACCTCCCCTCTACCCCCCCCCCCCCCGCCCCATTTATTTCTGGGTTCCCTTCCCCATTCCCAGCCCTGACAAACAGTTTCAACCCGAAACGTTGACTTCCCTGCTCCTCGGATGCTGTCTGATCTGCTGTGCTTTTCCAGCTCCACACTTATTGACTACAAGTTAGGTGGATTGGCCAAGCTAAATTCCCCATAGCATTCAGGGATGTGTAGGTTAAGTGCAATGCCACGGGAAATGCAGGGTTAAAAGGACTGGGTAGGAGGATGGGTCTGGGTGGGATGGTCTTCAGAGGGTCAGTGTGCACTTGTTGGGCCAAATGGCCTGTTTCCACAATGGGGATTCTGTGATTCTGTTCCTCCATGTGACAAGGGCATCACTGGCAAGGCCAGCATTTGTTGCCCATCCCTAATTGCCGTTGAACTGAGTGACTTCCAAGGCCATTTCAGAGGGCAGTTAAGAGTCAACCCCACTGCTGGGTCTTGAGTTGCCACACTGATAGATTTCCTTTCCTTGTTACAACAATTATTGGTGGTTGTCATGGTTTCCATCATTGCTGACTAGCCTTCAGTTCCAGTTT